GTGATCAACTAAGAATAGGAAAAAGAAACCTCCTCGAAGGATTTCCCTTCTAGGGATGGCAACGGGGCGGGGCGGGTACGGGTTCCATGATACCCGTCCCCACCCACGAGCCAAATCCATCCCCGTCCCCGTACCCGTACCCGTCGGGTATGTGATTTTTATCTCCATCCCCGTCCCCATCGAGTATCGAGTATACCCGTACCCGTACCCGTCAAATCTTTTATTTTTTATTTTTTTAAAAAATATAATATTTTTAAATTATTTTTTTAATTATATTATAATTATAATTAGGTTATTTCTCTATGTGATATTATAATAAATAATCACACATAAAAAATATTAAAATTCTTTAATATAATTAAATTGAAAGTGAGTATTAAATTAAAAATAAGAACGGAGACGGGTACGGGTACGGGTACGGGACGGGTAAGTACAAACTCGTACCCGTACCCGATTTAATATATCGGGTTTTACCCGTACCTGTACCCGTACCCGGTCAAATCGGGTATTCCCCGTCAAAGTCGAGATGGTTTCAGGTATTACTCGTGGGTACGGATATATTTGCCATTCCTATTCCCTTCTCGTATTCTCCCTTATTTTCCCTTATTATCAAATCCATCCCTTCTAACTAACTGACGTAGTGCCAGTAACTGATTTTCCCTTCCCATTCTACTAAATCCTAATAGATATACTATTCCTACTATAAAACTAATGCAACAATTAGGATACATGATACAATTCTTTAATGCATGTTAACAATAAGCTGATCCATGTAGGATATGGCAACAATGATGTCCAACACGACAACACTGGTTGACAATACATTAAGCACTCTAAATCAGTCATTTTATTACATCATGTTAGAATACCAAGAGCTAAATAGTTGTTCATTTAGAAGCAGATGTGATAGACCATGGGCCAAGGGCCCAGTGACCAGAGCTATGGCTAGGAGGATACAGGAAGAGCTGGATCTAGAGAAGACTAATGGGCTTGTCAGGCCCAAGATAATCTTCACTTGGAATGCTCTATCATGAAGAGAAAGCCTTAGTTCTATTTGTTTATATTGTACAGTTTATACATAGTCTTGTGTATAGGTTATTTTTGCCTTTGTATTTGTGAGGCACTTTACTAGCTTTTTCTAGTGTTTGTATATTGATTTTGAGGTAGGTTACTTGGAGAGTTTAACTCCATTTAACCTCCCTAGTTGACACACTCATTCTTTATTTTTTCAGTAGGATAAAGGGGGTGACATTTAGCAAAGCTAGGGAGTGTGCTTAGAAATTGGGCCAGAGTTGGGCCTAGGCAAAATTTTACATATTGGACTCATTTTGCTCCTAATTTTTCATAGATTTGATTTAGCTAGGTTTCATCATCATATGATGAACCTAACTAAACCAAATCAAAGAATTTCAAATTAAATCAAGGAGCAATTTGAACCATGGGCCGCCTAGCTTCCTTCCTTCTCCTTGGCCGAATTTTTCAAGCATTCTTGCTTGAGTTTGAAGCTTGTCTTGCAAGCTTCTAAACTCAAGCAAGGTTAGCTTAACCTTACCTTGGTTCCTAAAAGAACCATGGTCAAGGTTTAGCTTCTCCTAGAAGCTAGCTAAACCGTAGGAGTTTAAGTTAATCCTACCATGGTTCTTAATGAACCATGGTTAGGGATAACTTCTCCTACAAGCTACCATCCCCTATATATTTGTTTTTCCTACACATGTACTCACTTTTGACATAAATGAGAATCAATCTTCAGATTTTTCTCTCAAATTCAAGAGTCCAAAACCGTGAGGAACTTTCTCTCCTAAGTTCTCTCCAAAGTTCTTCAAACCTTAGCTTAGGTTCTACAAACTTCTTCATCCAAAGGAAGTAACCGAACCTCCTTCTAAGGCATCACCTCCATTGAAGATTTCTTCAAGGAGTTTCAAGCTTTGATCCAAGGTCTACCTCAAGAGATTCGGTCCTAAGCATGGAGCAAAGTGGAGGAACATCAATCTCCTCTCCTAGTTCCATCAAGATGCCTACATGGAATGTAATTGCACTATTAGACGATATTATTGAAAATAACAAAATATCTTAGGGGTTTATTAACATAATATCTTAGCGATTTATCATTATCTTTTTATTTTTTCTTTATCTTTAATCATTAAGTCATAATTTTCTCATTTTGATATATTAGTTTTCTCTAAAAAAAACATGATCAGAGAATGTAATGTACATGTGTGTGAAAAACTATTATTAGTGAAAGTTCTTTTTCAAGTGAAGTTTTACGAAAGAAAAATAAAATTAAGAGTTAAAACTTAAAAATTTACTTGGATCAATAACTTCAACGATATATCAAAAGTTAAAATCAAATTGCAGACAAAATTATACTTGAAAAACAAACAAATAGAGGGAAAGATGTGTGAGATATTAACCTTAATAGAGGAACCTCTAGTATTTGTTGAGACCTTAATTGAGACAATGTTTGCTTTAGTCATTGTAACATCTTGATCAGAGGTATTAGTTGGGCCTTTTCCTTTGAAGAAGCCTGGTCAGAATTATATTCTAAAGCTGCAACTATATTTTGTAGAAGCCTGTCACGAACTTGTGCAACAGGAGTGGGAACTACAGGCATGTCAAGGTCTGAGTTTGCAAAAAAAGGAGAACATTGACTAAAAGAGTTTGCACTTGTTACTATTCCTTTATCTGTATTAGTTTTTGTCATCTCTGATAACTCTACTTATTTTATTTTCCAAAACTAAATATATTTTAAAATTTGAACTTAGACTTAACTCAACCTAATAAAATCAATTTTTAATGTGCTATCAACAGTAATACTAATACCAACAATACTAGTACCAATGATAGTGGGAAAGTTTTCAATGGGGAAAATTTTTTGGGTGCCTGCAGTCAAGAGCTACTTGCTAAAGGCAGTGAATTACTCAAGCTCACCCATAAAAGTATTATCAATTTCAAATGCTACTATTAGTACTAAATCAGTTTCTCTTTTTTGCATAAATGAGTAAACTTCATTTTGGTGGAAAATATAGGTGACTTTCACTGGAAAATAATGTCTATTTATATACATTGAATAAGCCAAGTAATTTTTCATGCAAGAATCTACACAAAATGCAAGTGGAACCTGCAATTGAAATATATGGAGCTTCTACTTCTAGAAGATCCCAATTATCATCATCCTCTTCCTTCTTGGTTGGTGCACTTAAAACCTTGATTAAGGACGCTTGAAAATGATGAAAAACAGACAAATATTAAGTAATATTTCTTCATGTAGGGTAGTCATCTATGAGTTAAATACATATATTATATATTATCCGTTCTAAATGAAGGGTATATGACACTACATATGTAACTAATTACACAATGCAAGGGTAGTTGCTATCAGAAAGTACTGACCAACAAGATCTAGCTTTAGTTTCAGCTCCTGCTTATCGAGGTAAGGGAGGAGTGATAAACCTTGCTCTGGGTGTGGGAATGTATGTTGGGTAGTGGGATTGACCCCCAATTCTATGTTTGTTGTATGCTCATGTATGAGGGGTTTTTCCCAATTATATATGTTTCTTTCTATTTCTCTTTTTATATGTAAATAATTGTATGATTTGAGATCTCTGTGAGTTCTTGAGAGAATCCTATGAGAAACAGGAAAAATATGAATGTTTTCTGTTTTATTTTCTGATTGCTCTATTGTATTCCTTGTTGAATGTATTGTGTGAATATGTGATTAATTTTGAGAATAAAAATGTTTTGATATGAATTAGAGTGCTCTATGGGTTCATACGGGAAACCCTATGAGGAACAGGAAAATTTCTAATATTTTATGTGTTTGCTTTCTGATTGTTCTGTTGTATTCCTTGTTGAATGAGGTGTACGAATATGTGTCTACTTTCGTAAATAGAAAAGTTTTGATATGAATTAAAGTGCTCTATGGAGATTATGTGAATATGATGTGATATGATGATGTGATATGATGATGTGATATGATTGCCTTCGTCACTCAAGTCGGTTTATATACCGACGAAGACGCTGTCATGTGCAAAGTTTTTCCCACGTCACTGAAAGGACCTGCATTGAGTTGGCTTACAAGACTTCCCCCAGGATCGGTGGACTCGTTCCCAACCTTGTCCTCTCGATTTGTAATACAATTTGCCACGAGTCAACCCCATCAGCTCACCTCCATTGCGTTGGTTAATATTCGCCAGGAAAAAAAGGAACCTCTAAGAACCTTCATGGAGCGATTCAGGAAGATTACCCTATCAATCCGAAACTTAGACCTAGCAATGGCAATGCACCATCTCACCACGGCACTGCGGCCAGGGCCCTTTGTAAACAACCTATGTAAGAAGCCGCCCCAAGACTTAGATGAATTAAGGCAAAGGGCTACAAAGTACATGCAAATGGAAGAATTGGCCGAATATTCAGGAACTAGAACCGACCCGAGCTGTTTCAAGAAAAGAAGGAAAAAGAATTTTTCCCTAGATCCCGTCCGCGTGACACTTTTAACTGGGAAAAGAATACTCGAGGACCCCGATACGCACAATACACACCCCTTAACTCTAGCCGAACCAAGGTACTAGAGCAGGCCCTCGCCACTAAGGTCCTGACGGCACTAGTGGAAAAAAGGCTTTTAAAATCGGTTATTTTAGACTTTTAAAATCGGTTATGGAACCGATCTTAAAAGAGCCAATTTTGAAAAGGTAGACTTTTAAGATCGGTTATAAACCGATTTTAAAAGTAGACTTTTAAGATCGGTTGATTTATAACCGATCTTAAAAGTCTTGACTTTTAAAATCGGTTATAACAACAACCGATCTTAAAAGTATACTTTTAAAATCGATTGTTTTATAACCGATTTTAAAAGTCAAGACTTTTAAGATCGGTTATGATTTTAACCGATCTTAAAAGTCAAGACTTTTAAAATCGGTTATGGCATAACCGATCTTAAAAGTAGTGATTTTTTTTTGTATGTTTACTTGTTTTGGGAGCACCTCAGAACAAAAAACCTGCAGAAAAACCAGACAGTTCAAAATATTTTCTCAATGAAGCACAAATCGCATACAAATGACAAGATGATAAATGTTAATCATATATATATATATAATTGAATAGTTTTAAATACTTCTAATACATAAATGGACTACATTGCTCAATGAAATGTAAGTTCTAACTAGTTAAAGCAATACTATAAAACATAAGCCCAAACTAGTTAAAGTAATGGTCAATAAAAAATGTGGCCCATTGCTCCCTAATGATGTTTATGTCTTCTAGCGGCAATGGTGATCGATCTATAAATATCTGTTAAGAAAAATTAAAATAATTAGTAATAATTCATAAAATATATAGAATGAGAACTTAAAACAAAAACTTTCAAAATTGTAAAACTTACTTCAGTCCACCCAGATACTATTTGTGAATCGACAATAGTATGCATTGTCTTCATTACATAGTATCCGCACTCATAATTTCCTTTTTGTTTATGAGACTACAAAAAGAATATAAAATCAATTTCAATAGAATAGTAATTAAAAAAAATTACTAAATTACTTAAAAAAAATATCATTGCTAGAATTAAAATCTTACTTTAGGAGAGACCCAACTCATTTTTTTCTTCATCTTTGAACCCTTAAGTATATGATATCCTTCCATGGCCCTAATGATAAAATGACATTATGATTAGTGTAAAGTCAAATGTAATGATAATCAATAAAAGAAATTAGATATTTTTAAACAATTTACCTATCTAATAATTGTCTAAAATCCATAGGAGGAGGTTTATGCAACGAGCAAATGCATACAGCTATGTTGTCCATAGGACAAATAACTAAAAGTTGCCAATGAGCACTGCATTAAGAAATTATGAGTAATAGAAAAAATAGTTTTTATAAAAAATTATATTTAATTATATAAAATTAAACTTACTCAGAAAAATAAGGGGCCAAGTAAACTTTTTTATTTGAGTCGAACATCCAATTTTGAATGTAAGCTTGTATTTCTTCGACTTTGTTCCCACTTTTTTGGATTGACTCAGGCTCCAAAAATCCATATATGTGATCATTTCCCTTATCCATGCTCAATTTATGGATAAATCTACAACGTTAGAAATAATGTTAGAAACAATGTTAGAAAAAATGTTAGAAAAAATCAACAAAATATAATTAAAAATAATTTAAATACTTACAACAACCATAACTGCAAAATTGATATGTTTAGCATACAATGACCATTTGTAATCTCTGATATATCACTCTGACTTATATATAGAGGTACTTTACTAGACATGTTAAACACTTCAGGAGGCCAAGGGAGTTGTTTGGGTTGCTCGTCATCTTCCATATCTGCAACTAATCTCCATAGCCTTTTTATTGGAGGAAGATTTCTAGAAGGGGTAACAATGACCGTCCCTTTACCCTTTGGTGAGGTAACAATATCCTACTCCACAAAGTACAAAGCTAATATTATACAATATTATAATAAAATTACACCAACTTAAAATTAAATATTATTTAAATAACATACCTTCGTAGATATCACCTTTACTAACTTATAAGGCCACTGAAGGAAGGTGTTCAAGGCTTGTCCCATTGTCTGAACCTCCTCTGTGGGCATAGGAACTCTAGCCTCTGGTTGTCTCACATCCAACACTGAAACCCTAACCATATCATCTCCCATGACTTGATGGTGTACAGTGGACCCTAATATGTGAATCTGCCCTATACCCACAGGATCGAGTGATCCATCCACAAACAACTCACATTTATTAGATGTACC